ACATGATTAATATATTGACAAAAATTTCACCCCATCCACCTATTTTGTGAGTTTTCTGGCAAGTACATGATTTTAAAATCCTGTACGTGTAGCATTGTTATACTAGAACAATGTTTCAAATCCTGAAAAAACCTTAAAATTTTGTAGACTTAGGATCGTCTTCCACAAAAGGCAGAATTTTTGTTCAAACAATGTTACTTGTATGCAAAATTCTTACACTTTTTTGACATTCTGTTATTGACCCGTTTTAAGAGGAAGACAATTTTTGCACTAACCACACACCGCTAACTGTGATCTGACAGCAAGGTGGGCAGCTTTTTTTCTGTACAAATGGCAAAGCTCTCTTTTTAATTCAAATTCCAACAATTTGATTATATGCAATTGAATTAAGAGTTTAAATTATTTAAATTGTAACTTCACTGACATTGACTCTAATAATCAAGTTTGCCAATTTAATCTTACTGTACCATCACAGGTATATTCTCATGTCTTTGCTGAAACACTAATTTGAAAATACAGTTAGTTCTAAAATAAGCAAATTTTTTAACTTAAAAGTAAGAAAATGTAACATATCTAGTACCAGTTCTTTCCCACCTTAGCATGGAGGTAACAAGGGCACCACGGAGCTTTTACTGATACCTCGACTTTTGACAATTCAATTATTCTGTGCATTTTATGTAAACAGAAAGAGGAGCCAACTGGTCATCATGAAATTTCACTAAAAATTTTACACAGCTTTTTGATTAAGGCGTAGGCATACACATATCTTAGACAAAAAGGAAAAGTCCAAATTCATTCTTAAATCAACTCAGCTATAATAGATCTCCAGCGTCAAAATGAAATGATATCTATAACTTCTACCAGGAAAGATCAAAAAGCAACATGCCTTTTAGCCAACATTTCAACAGGGAGTTGCCTGTTAGCTTTCTTTAGTTAAAGAATAACGAATAAGCTAAGCTAAAAACAAGCCCTATATACACATGGCAGCGAACACGCATTTACATCTTGTAATCCTCGTTTAAATAGCTTTCATAACATGTTCCATTGAGCGTCTTCTCAACGTCCCCCCAATTTTCGACCTGAGACGATAAGGACCCACGGTGTATCTTCACCTGACGACTATTCAGGTCCCTTCGTGGAACCTTTAGAAAATCTTGGACGTCCATCAATTTCTGAAGAGAGAAAAAACACAAAATTGAGTACCTAAGCACAAAAAATTTGATGCCACAAGATATTAGATGTCTTACAGTTGCGTTCTTTACTACATCCTCGTAGTAAAGAATGATATGTCGAGTGCTCTTGAAATATTCTAAAGATTTAGTAACCATGTCGTCCACTTGCCTCAGATTGGGTATCAGCAATGTTGTATTGAGTGTAGGCTTGTATCTAGCAAGTATCTCGGCCTACAAGAAGCACACGTAGTCTAATTTTTTAAGACAAATACTCGCGCGCTTCTTTTTTTTTTCAGATATATGTGGGAGCAGGGTGGTTGGGGACATAGATACACAAAGAGAGTACAGCATGAGAGAAGGACCTCGTGGGTCGAATGAACATGAGATTTGTGTGTCCCGTTCAGCAGTTTAGCATTCCAATCATAGGAATTAGCAAGTATCGAAATCATCCGGCGCAAAAGATTTCTTCTGAAGAGAAAAATTGCTGAAACTCCTTTAGTATTGAAGTATTTCACTATTTCTTCATGATTCTGCATTAAACCCTGCAACACATTCAGTAAACTTTAAGGAATATATTGGCTATTTCGTTTCCCTGCAACACATTATAGTTTGGAGTTCAATATATTGTAAACCAAGAATTAAAGTGGGATTGAGGGGGCAGGAGACTGGCCAATGATCATTGCTGTCAAGAAAACAAGGATTAATTATGGGGCCACAAGAAATTTTCTCCTCCATACCATACATAATCGGAGATCCCATTACACACACAATCTGCAAGGACACATAGCTACCTACCGATAGTGCAATATATGCTATCCAAACTCAACCGATTCCACAGATAACCAAGCCAACAACTTAGCTCGGCTAATTAACACGGATGATAAAGGTTGGAAAAATATGATATTTGGAGCAAATTTTTAAATTGCAGCCATGTCACACTAAATAAATAAAGAAATAAGTATGCAATCAAGCTTTTAAGAATATATAAAAGCCGATTAGTAATCGCAATTATGTTCACATATATTAGATTGGCTTGTCCTTATTGCACAGTATGTGATTGAATCCCAATCTCTAGTTATCAGATAGAAGTTCCGTAAAAAAGATAGCTACAAATTCATACTAAAACATAAGACGTAAGTAAATAAATATTTAGTGGAATGCAATTATTGCATTTAAGTACACACTATCACCTGCATAGACGTTTATTTTATACGATGGAAGTTGCAAAAGAAGGCAATCACCTGATTAAGCATCCATTTCAATCCAATGGCAGCTGTACACTCATTCTTGGAGGCACTAGTAAACCAGTCCAGATTATAGATTTTATCCAAAGTTTCCACAATTGTCGATATGTTACTCCTCCGAACCTTAACTGAGAAGATTTCCCCATTGGAGCTTATGTTAATATGACTGTTCAACAATGTCTCAAACCATCCACTCCCGGACCTCTGGGTGGATAAAATAGCAAAATATCGTACGGGAATGCATGCGCACTCGGACCTAATTACCACCAAATGCAACTCAGTAAATTCAACAATGACTTGCAACTGATTATTAGAATGAAGATACGTACAATGTCAAACCTGCTGAAAGTCTTGGGCTTAGGAAAATGCACATAATGTTTTTCTGAAGGCTCAACATTAGGTGCTTCACACGACCTCTCGACCACTTGAACTTCTAATAGATGTTCACTGGAGCGTGCACTATATTGCCTTAGACAAACTGAACATATATAAACCCCGCAGGCCATCACAAACATTAAAACCACCATTCTCAACACCAGGGGGTTTTTCTTCGGATTTTTTATAATCAAGCTATCCTGAAACTCGAACAAATATCATAAAGTCAAGAAAATTTTTTCCACATCTTCCGACATAATTTTCAATAAACAATTTCCCCACAGCTCACCTCCATTTAAAACAATAATAAGTATTCAGTCTCATTGAGCTTGAAATATTGCCCAGGTATCAACCAAAAAAAAAAAAAAAATCTAAAAGGGGAGTGGCATTTAATCAAATTTCTGAAACAAGGGCTTGAATTTGATCATTCAAAACCCATCAAGCGGCAGTAATATAAATAACATTAGTTTCAAATATATACCCTAAATTTAATTTTGACAGGCCCATCAAAGATGTGATACAAATGCAATGAAGCAAGAAAACAAAAATCTGGGTTGCTTCTATTTCAATGCCTGGACATTAGAATAACGTAGATTATAAGCTAAATGAGTATATATATTTGATTATTCAGGTGCCCAGATCAAGAAAACACAAAATAATCAAAACGAAACGAAAAAAGAGTAGAATCTCAAAACTAAAATGATATTCCCATATGTCTCCTTATTGAGTATACAAATATTCATACAAGCTAATAAATAAAAATAGACGTACCTTAGAGAATAAACAGAGACCATCAGCCATATTTTTTCCCCTTTTTGCTCAAAACTGGCAGCTCAGATTCAAATTTTCTTTACCCTTTTCTTTTTAGCTTTATCCATCATATACCTTTTCTTTCTCTGAACATGCACTAATCATAATTTATATGTATCTATAGAGTGAGAAAGAAAATATATAGATAATATAAAAAAGTGAGCTTTTTCCCGTGAAGAACAGTAAAATGAAATCAACAGTCGTCACGCTCCTTTTTTCGTTGTTTTGCTCTTAAGATTTTCCTTCAGATTTACACATCTCTCTCTCTCTCTCTCTCTCTCTCGACTAATTCGCATTCCGTTTGAGAGAGTTTCAGTATAATGTAGGTTCTGATGTGGAAGGATCCGAATCCAGGCGTCGGATATGCAAATACGAACGGCGGACAAAGGCAAACGACAACGTTGTACGAGTTAATTTGATCAAACGTCGAATTCGAAAATGGACCTCAAGTTTACATCGATATATTCAAATAAGATTAACTTTTTGAGTTAATTGCAGAATTGGTCCCTAACCTTAGCCCAAAGTAGTGATTCTGTCCCCAACTTCATTTTTATCTGATTTTTAACCTCGAGCGTTCATAAATTAGCCGAGTTGGTCCCTAATGACGTTTCAATCCAGTTTTGCTGCTAAAATTGTGTAAAAGATAATATTGCCAATAACTTTAAGGGTCCGTTTGATTATAAATGTGGAAAATGGATGGAAAGAAAATGTTTTATTAAGAATTGAATTGCCTAGAATTTGTTTTCCTGGGAATTGTAATTAATTGTGTTTTATTGGTATAATTTTTCACCTGAAAAATGTTGAAAGTTTGATATCCGTTTGATATTTTTTGTCATGGAAATTGTTCGTTTAGAGAATATTTAAGATGTCGGAAGCAAGCAATTGACAAAAATGATGAAGGGTACATGCTCGTTGGAGATTTTATACCTTACAATTGGGATGAGGACATCCAACTTGTAGGAGATTGTCCTCCTCTATTAGAAAAAAAAGTAATTGCAAAGTATTTCGAAAAACTGGTCAAGTTAGATAAAGGCGAGATGCTTTTGGGAGATTGGATATACTTAGAAGAATTTCAACATTGGGGGTACAACCCACTTGAAGGGGTCGTCGGGACCGACTTCTCATTACTCGTGGATTTAGATTGCGGATCAATCATTCTACCCGATGAGAGTTCAACAATTGAAGAAGAGCGAAAAACGAGTGAAAATTTAATCACAATGGAGCTAAATGAGGATGATGCGATCAATAAGGAGGAAATAACCTCACATTTTTTCGACTTTATTGATTGTCCAAAAATTGATTTTGTGATTAAGCCTGACGAGGAGATACAAATCTACATAGTTGAAGTTGAATAGGATGGAATAGAAAAGTCTTATTATATTGAAAATGGCAAAGAAGAGGTGTGGAT